CCACATTATGGCACTTTGGTTTAGCATAATGATTAATGCGTCTGATATGGTTAATAATTACTGTTGAGTAATGAGTTTAGTTATCACTGGTTTCTCCATAATTGTGGCCTTGTGCCAAACTACACCTGGTGTGTAATGGTTAGTGATGCTTCTCTGGTATATCATTACCAGTGAGTTTGGGTACCCCATATTTATGGCCTTGTGCCAGATTGGGCTATACTTAGAAGAAAAGCCAGGATAAAGAAATTTCCTGTGGAATATCTTTTCAGCCACTCCAAGACAATTATTATTTTCACTGCTTTGATTGATATATATGAATTACCTTCGGTAACATTATTGGGACTATTGTTCTCATCTTTGTTGCCATATTTATTACAACATTTCGGCCGTTGTACGCTCCGGCCTTCTTCAGGTGGTTGGAATGTCGAACTGAACCCTTTATTTCGCTCATCGGGGTAGACTGTTCTAGTTCCACGTGCCATGTTTAATGGATGTCAGTTATCTCCTGTTAATTCCCCTCTCCAAGTTCTCCACTGCCTTAACCGGGTATTGAACTCACACTATTTGGGTCCTGTCACTGGATCTAACCAACACCTTTATCCACTGTGCCATGTGTCCAATAGTCCAAATAATGTAAATAGTGTACATTATACCTCATCTCAGAATTATAGACAGATACTGAATTACCTTCAATAACTTTCTGGCTCACTTCTCTATTAAGAGGACTTGGGACAATTTTTCTCCCAAGATATCGTGTCAGCCATCTCAAGACTGTCATCATTTTCACTGTCTTCATCACCATTTACGCTTGAATCACTGTCAGAACAAAAGAATGGATTCTAAAAGGATTTGGGAATGGGAAAAACTTTGACAAAGATGGTGTCTCAAATCTTGACAGTTTATTTCCAAAAATGAACTTGTAAAGGAAAAAGTTTGTTTACCTGGTCACAGTTGTCTCCTATCACCTTTTCCTTGGGAAGCTAGAGACACTAGTTGCCAGGTAAGTAAACTTTGCTTTCATGAGGCCATTCCAGGAATGAAATTGTCCTACCTCATGGAATAGATTGGTTGAAATGTAATAAAAGACAAGTGAGAATCAGTAATTGGAATAAGTTTTAGAATACATAGTTGTTTGTTAATCAAATGATATTAATTTGCTAATTTCATTAAATTTGGACCATAGATTTATTGGAGGAGAAAGAACTTTTTTTAATTTTATTGCCAGCTCCTTTATTTTTTTTATTTTTTTAGTTGCCGATTCTTTCAAGGAGACTTTGATGCTTTTTCCATGGCCTATGAGTTGAAGAATATCATAAAGTTTGTCGACGCCTTGTGTTTGCAAGGACTGTTGTTAGAGAATGATCACACGCTTCTCATCAACTTTTCTTTGTGGTTCTATGAGCAGGTAAATATTTTCAAAACTCAGTCTTTTGGGGGTTTTTTTTGTTTTTTTTTTTTTAAATCATTTTCTGCTCCTCCAACAGGCAAAATCTTTTTCTTTTTTTTTTTTGTTATATTATATACTCTAGGATAATGTGAGTTTTTATGTTTAAAAAAAAAAAAAAAAATAGGGTATCGCACTATACCCAGATAATTTTTTTTTTTTTTTTTTGAAGAGGTTAAAAATCGTGTTTTTGGTAACCCGTTGCACTATACACAGATGAATCTTTTCTCATGTGACCCTAACCTACCTGGTAGGCCTATATTATCATGGTATCTTTGGTTAACCATAACAGTACGGTTAAGCGCTCCTTTAGCCTCCCTTCTATAGCCTCAATTCTTTCTGTTGTTATATGAACAGCAGAACGTCATTCACGATATGTGTCTCTTAAAATCTACAAATAATTTTAACAATCTTTTTTTTCTTTCTCCAATTTGTGTTCATCTTCATTTGCATGTGTTTACATTGCTTGAGGTATTGCTTTTCCAATGGCACCCATTTGTCTGATAGATATATATATATATATATATATATATATATATATATATATATATATATATATATATATATATATATATGTATATCTTTCAGGAGGCACAGTGGAGTAATGGATAGTGGCTCAGATTGAGGAATCAGAGAGCTGAGTTTGAATTCCAATCGAATCCATTATATTCACTTAAGTGCTAATACCGTTGGGAAAGGTATGAATCCTCTTCTCGCCCCAGCTATGGGAAAATAGCAGTACAGAGGGGGTTCTATAGCCTTGGGTAGAAACTGGTCTACTGCAGAAAGAAATGGCAACCCACTGCAGGAAAAAATCTGCCTCGTCAGTCATAATACTGAGATGTTATGTGACATCTGTCTTTCTTTATGGCAGCAAATGTTGGACAATTTCCTCAAAGATGAAGACGTGACTTGAGGCGACAGCGATGTGGTTCTATAGAAGGATGTTAAGGATATCATGGACCGAGCGTGGAAGCAATGGTGAGGTCTTAGAGAGGATGCAAACAAGGAGGAGGCTTATACTTAACATCAGGAAAAGCAGCTGAAGTTTCTGGAACACATAATGAGGAAGGAGGGCCTGGAGAATCTGATACTCACGGGTCGAATAGAGGGAAAGAGAGACAAGGGAAAACAACACGTGACATACCTGGTGGGCTGAAGAAACTGAATGACATAACGTTGTCTGGGGGAGGAAGCAGACGGAAGGAACTTGTTGAGAGCTGCAACGGAATGAGGGGGGGTGGAGAGCCATGATTGCCTATGTCCTGAAAGGACATGGCACAGAGAAAGAAAGATAGGGGAAAAAAATCAGGCTTTCCACAAAAAAATCAGGATTGTACTATAAGTAAAGTAGACTTATACACGAGTATATACAGAATAAACTCTCTCTCCTCCCCTTCCCCCTCTTTTTTTTTTTTTTTTTTTTAAACTTCTTGAATGTAAAGTGAATTTTGAAGACAAATGTTATTGGAAGAATCTTTTTTTTTTTTTTTTTTTTTTTTTTTTTTTTGCAATTTTTTCTATCTGCCATTCCTGTTTTTAATGTTTGAAGCAAGCTTCCTTTCCTTTACAAGAGTGAAATCATTTGGTTTATATGTAAAATGTTTAAATTTAAAATTGTTTTACACCAGTAGAACTCACCTTCTTTTAATTTTTGGCTTATAATTATCTTTTAATTGTGATGATTGCAAATAAAATAAGTCGACAACATTTTTGCAAGTTGTATTTTTGCAAGATGCAAACAAAGCTGGTGATATCATTCACTCATTTATACATGCTGCCCAGCTAGTTGGCTGAGACGCAAATAATTAGCTCTGGGCACCGGGCCTAATATTCAAAGAGAGATTTATAATATAATTGATCCTGATCTGGCATCTTGACTTGCACAAGAGCCAAAATGGCAGACATGGGCTTAGTTTGCATTTAGTCATCTTATTGATATTCACTAAATTTTACTTAGTCTTGTACAGGGACAGAAAAAAATGTTAGGATTGAATTCTGGTTGCAGTATTAATAGTTTACTAAACTAACTTACTTATCATTACTCTATGGTGAGATGCCTTTGGTATTTACTAAGCATGTGACACAAAGTCACAAGTTTTGAGATCGAATTCATTATACGCTAGTAATATTCTGCTCATCTAAATTGCTCAACTTCACTATTGTTTTAATTTTCCTTTTATTCCAGTTGGTGAATTGTATCAATAAACATGATTTCTACCTGTTAATCATGCCTTCAAATGAATTGATCAACCGAATTTTCCTCAGTGATGATGCTACGGGCATTTCTCGCCTTTGTCGTGTCCTCCTTGAGTAAGTAATCTTTTTATCTATTTTAGAACTCTGTAGGTGACTATTTTTGCCAAGCAAGATGTCACTATTACCAATGCAAGTTGAATTTTAATTTCTTGGTTGTGTAGTCGTATCCTTCTATGGCAACACCTAAAACAATCTTGACTGAAATTAAGAGCCAGGCTACTGCAATTTTAAATATATAGAACTAGTATATAAAACACTATATTTTGAGGGGATTCCATATACAGTAAAAGAGGAAGTAATATTTAAAAATGATGTAGAGTGCTAAATGTTAAACAGATGTTTGTTTCATATAGTTTTGGCAGCCCCTAAACCCAAAAAAAATTTGGGAAGTATGTCAATAACTTTTAGGCAGATTTTGAAGATTTGTCCATTTCTATATTATCTTTTTAAACACAAAAATACTAAGTTTATTACTAATGTTGACTGCAAAAAATACCATTTGTCTTCACCAGAAGAGTCAAGACTGTGTTTCAAAGTGGGTTATGATCCTTCACAGCTTCTAGCTAAAAATAAATCTACATTTGGAATTAATCATTCTAAACAATGTAAGAACCATTGTTTATGCCATACCTTCGGTCTTTTTACACTTGTCAGGTGACAGTTTTGAAATTTTTTTCACTTCATCCAGCTCCTCAAACTATCCAGTTCCTCCAAGCCCTCATTTCCTCAAACTATCCATTTCCTCCAAGCCCTCATTTCCTCAAACTATCCATTTCCTCCAAGCCCTCATTTCCTCAAACTATCCAGTTCCTCCAAGCCCTCATTTCCTCAAACTATCCAGTTCCTCCAAGCCCTCATTTCCTCAAACTATCCAGTTCCTCCAAGCCCTCATTTCCTCAAACTATCCAGTTCCTCCAAGCCCTCATTTCCTCAAACTATCCAATTCCTCCAAGCCCTCATTTCCTCAAACTATCCAATTCCTCCAAGATTTCAGCTTCTTAAACCATTCATTTCCTCCAGCCCTTCAATTTTTTGAATCATCCATTCCCTCTGGTCCCTCAGTTCCTTTAGCCCTCCATTACCTCTCTCCTTTCACTTTCTTGAACCATCCCTTACCTCCGGCTCCTCAATTCCTTGAACCTTGCCTTTCCTCCAACTCCTAAATTTCTTCAGCTTTCTTCAACCTTCTATTTCATGAGCTGTCCGCTACATCCACCCCCTTTAAACCCATGAGCTGTCCAGTACATCTGGTCCCTTAAATCCATGAGCTGCCCAGTACATCTGGCCCCTCAATTCCATGTACTGCTCACTACCTCCAGCCTCTCAATTCATTGAGCCCTCCCAACTATGTCTGGACACTCAATTCCATGAAACACTTTTTCCAGACCCTCAATTTCCCAATTATTTTCATCGTTTACTTATTTTCCCATATCCTTTCACTTGTTGTTTTTTTCCGTTCATTATATTCTTTCTCTTCTTATTTTTTCCTCCTGCTTATCCAGTTACACGGCGGTATTAACCCAGCTGAAAGCTGATAAGGATCTGAAACCACACATTGGGAAATATGTTGTGAGTATCAACAAAAACATTCAGGACATTTGCAATTCCATTTGGCGCTTTAAGGCATTTGATGAGCAAGAAATTGAGAAAGGAACACATTTATTTGATTTTGATATCAGTCAAGTGATTAGCATCCCACAGAAGACATTGCATTCATCTCTCTCTTTTATACACCATCCAGCATTTTTGGGATTTGCTAGCATTTTTCTGCAAGAGGTAAGTTCAACACCCACCCATCTTTCTCTGTGTGCGTGTGTAGCTGTAGACATTGCTTTGCCTACTTATGATTGGTTTGGTTTATTTTATTTTACGGCATATCAACATCTCAATGGGTTATTTAATGCCGACAAAATTTCCTTTTTTTTTTTTTTCAAAAATGTATAACTGGTAATATTTTTTTTTTTTTTTTTTTAAATGTATAGTTTGGTTTGTTTTGTTTTGTGGCATATTAACCTCAATGGGTTATTTAATGCTGACAAGATTTTTATTTCTGGTAATATTTTCTTTTTTTAAATATTTATTGCTGATAATAATTTTGTTTTAAAAGTATTTCTGGTATTAAAATCTATTTTTACACTTTCATAGTGTTTTGAGTCAGGTTGTGGGGGGTCACTATTTGCCCATATCTGGGACCCTAACATGTGCTGCCACCCCGGGTCAGGGTGGACCTGGGAACACCAGCAATAAAGAAGTGGTTCCACGCTCCTCAAAACCTCCTGATCAGAGGCCTTGTTGGACGTAGTTTATCATCTTGCCCAGGACGCTTGCTCACTTATGAGTCTATATGTCAATAACACTTCAGTCTATTGATGATAAAAGCATTTGTTTTATAAAACAAGTATTCATTTATTTAAACACAATCTCTTTCTTTGTCAATGCACTTAATTTGTTGATAATATTAATCACATAGATGGAACATTATTGATTTATCATCTTCATCAACACAATTGAAATGCATCTGCATTAGTGTTCCTAACAAGGTTTGTCATGTTGATGGGGTTTAGAATATACCAACTACATCCTTGCATAGGTAAGACCCACCACATGCATGGGTGGATTCTTGCAGTATGAACCAGACCCATGCCCACCTTTGTGACTCTGACATAAACTGGATCCACGGGTTATGATCCTTCACAGCTTTTGATCCTTTGTGACCCTGTTGTAAACCAGACTCGTGCTTACCTTTTGTGGCTCTGTCATCAGCCAAATCCGTGCCTGCCTTTGTGACTCCAGCATTGGCCAAATCCGTACCTGCCTTTGTGACTCCAGCATTGGCCAAATCCGTACCTGCCTTTGTGACTCCAGCATTGGCCAAATCCGTACCTGCCTTTGTGACTCCAGCATTGGCCAAATCCGTACCTGCCTTTGTGACTGGCATCGGCCAAATCTGTGCCTGCCTTCGTGACTCCAGCATCGGAGTTTTTTTTTTTTTATAACAATATCTCTAAAACTGTAAAAGTTACAGTGCCAGTAATATACTCACCATTTAAAAAACTTAGCACACCCAAAATTAATCTAAATCCAGGGCATACAACTCTGAAAATTCGTGCGGAATTGTAATGGTTAAAATGTAAACTTGTTTTTATCAGTTTTCTCCAACAAATTTGGAATTTGACTCCAGAATGTAGAAATTGTTTTTTTTTTTGTTTTTTTTTTTAAACATCCTGCTTTTCTTTCAGCACTTACCAGAAAGTCCTCACCATCCGTCTCTAATTCGCGGAGTATAATTTGTTCTTCAAACTTGTTTTATCCTTCACGAATGATAGATATGGGAATTGTGTTGGTGATTTCCCTTAGAGAATGTTGGCTGTGGCAACCAGTTTAAGAGTAATCTCTGCCAATGCATCAGGAGTCAGCACTGCTGCAGTAGACGCCATTATACTTGCTGTAAAGGGCATCTTCATCTCGTCATACCCTTTAACTGATCCACCAACATAACAGAATGTCATCTTTTATTGTAAGGTCCATATAACTACACCCTGATGATGACCAAAAGCTTAGATTGAGGAACAGCATAATAAAAAAAAAAAAATATCCAAATGTTGGACAGTTTTTGTCTTTATTTTCTCCTGAAACTAAAGCCACTATACGAAGCTTAGAATGGCTTATGATCAAACATAGGTATTCGTTGTGTTATATTTAACAATATATGTTTGAATAATAATCTGCTGCCCCAATACAATATATATATATATATATATATATATATATATATATATATATATATATATATATAATTTTACTATAGAAATGCATTGCAAATGGGGGAAATGAGGATTGTCAAGTGAAGAATTATTATGTTTATATATTAAAGATGTTTTCTGGTTGCAATTAAGGGGATCCCTATTATTTTACCTTTTAAGCCATTTGCCTGTTTACAGCCTTTCTTTTGATTCTATGTCGTTTTTGATCTTGCTGGAAAACAGCCTCCCTCCTCACCTTTCAAGTCTGGTGGAGGAACTGGTTTAGTCACCAATAACCTGACTATGTGGCAGGTAGTATTATTGAGTATTAAAAAAAAAAGCATTAACTGATTGCAATCATTTGGGCCCTAGATTTGATTGCATTTTATACCAACTTCTCTCTTTGGCTCCTTGGAGTTTTTATAGTGCAAATCACTTTTGGTAATTTTGTTTTCCATATTTTTTTTTTTTTTTTTTTTATTTATTTATTTATATTTCTCTTTCATTCATCAGAAACACCGCCGGGAATATTTTCTCTTTCTCAAAGAGCAGAAGCTGATAGGCCTGACAGATTTCTTAACCAAATTTATTGAATCCAGACTTGGCTTACAAGAGGTAAGCATATTCTTCCTCTCCCACCCGCTCAAATTCATAAAATGTTCTGTTAATTTGGATTTTGGGATTGGATTTTGCTTAGATCTCATGTCAATCACTATTAATGTCTCTGTCCCATAATACTTGTTACATTTGAATACACATTTCATACATTAAATGTAACAACGATTTTTGGGACAAAGATTACTACTGTCCCAAAATAGTTGTCACACGTGTATGATATAGGTACACAAATGCAACAACTATTATGGGACAGTAGTTCAAAAATAGATTTGAATTCTGTGTTTAAAATGTGTACGCAAATGTCCCAATTATTATGGAACAGTGCTTGTATCTTATATTATTATTATTATTATTATCTCTGTCCCACAATGTTTGTGACATTTGTGTATGCATTTCATAGACAGATGGACAACGGTTTTCGGGACAGAGATTCCCTGCACTAAATGTTAGAATTCTGAGACAGATGTTGGATTATTTGTTTTAATTTCCAAAATGAAACCGCATTTACTATTATTATTATGAACTTTATAATTAGCATTTGCTTGACTTGCTTTTTATTGCATTGTCGTTAGGTAGCACTTTAGTAAGCAACATGGATTGGAAATTATCATCAACAAGAAATCTTGAACACAAAACTCTACAAACCATTTTTGATAAGTTTGATCAAACAAAGAATGATCTCCATAAACTGCACAACATTTTTCTTGGGCTTGATTCACTTTTTTTTAACCTTTTTTCGTTAAATAAAGAGAAAAACAATGTCGAAAATGTTGCTTATATCCTTTCATGCTCAACATTATTTTGAATGATATGAAAACTTGGGCTATTTAATCACTTCTTTTTTCATTGATGGAAATTCTTTGGCAATTGTCCTTTTTTAATGTGCGTAGTTGATAATTTATCATATATAATCAAGTTAAAATAAATCATATATATATATGTATATTAAATTAAAATAAATCATATATATATATATATATATATATATATATATATATATATAATATATATATAAAATTAAAATAAATCATATATATATATGTATATAAATTAAATAAATTAAAATAAATATATATATATATATATATATATATTAAATTAAAATATATATATATATATATATATATATAAATTAAATATATATATATATATATATATATATTAAAATATATATATATATATATATATATATATAAATTAATATATATATATATATATATATATATGTATATTAAATTAAAATAAATCATATATATATATATATATATATATTAAATTAAAATAAATATATATATATATATATATATATATATATATATATTTAGTGTGATTAAAAACAAATCCATTAATTCTTTAGAAATTGCTTTGTTTATGTTTCGGATATGGAACTGAGCAGATGTTTTACTGACAAAGTGCACTTTCCTTACAAGGGGAAATAGAGCCCTATTTGAAATGTTATGCTCTCTGTAGCCAGACGGTAAATAACACTGGATAAAATGCTGGTTTCTCCTACAAAGGGGGATGTAGGTTAGATTCCTGCTAAAGAGCACATTCTCTTTATTAAGTTTTCTTGAATATGCAGACCAAAAAATAGGATACATACTAGTCAAATTAAAAATAGGGTATTTATTTCAAATATGAGTATTCACTATAATAATGTTTGAAATACACACACACTATTTACATTCAAACTTTTGTCTTCACCTTCATTTTTGTTATTACAATGTTTCAGACATTGTGCCCTCTGGCCTTCATCAGGTGTATATTGATCCAGATAATCTACAGGAGATTCTAAACTAAACCCTTTATTTACCTAAATGTTTAATTTAACTTTAGTTACTGAGATTGGTATATACCTGACTAGCAGTAGAGCCCAGCGTTGCCCGGGGATGTAACAGTAAGAGATAGATGAAGTATTGACCATCATAAAGACTGAAAAATAAAATTGACAAAGATTATTGTTTAAGGTTGATGGACACGAATGTCTTAATTATTTTTTTGTTTTTGTTTTTTGGTTTTTTTTTACGAATTGGTCAAACCCAAACTCAAACAAAAACATTGTTTCAATTGTTATGAGTCTACTGATTGAATAGAATTTTATTATAAACAATTGTCTTGTAAATGGAATTTTTAAAGCATTCTGAATGTAAAAATAAAGAAAAAAGTGTGCAAGACAATAAGAAACACTACCTGCCAAAAAAAAAGTGAAGTTTTGTTGAAATCGGTTGAAAAATGTAGGAAATCTGATCCCATATATAAATGAACACACACACACAACCTGGGTTTTATAATAAGTATAACTCGATATGAGTTGTCCCCCTTTCATTAATGCCTCTTAATTGTGTTTTCAAATTGATTTTGTGCAAAAACAATTGTTTTTCCAATTTTTGGCACTGTCAGAAACACTGCAAGGTAATTTTACGTAGTCCTATGAAGTTTTGTTGAAATCGGCTGAAAAATGTAGGAAATCCGATCCAATATATAAACGTACAGGCACACACACACACACACACACACACACACACTGGGTTTTATAATAAGTATGATGAAGGCCAGAAATGGCCAAAAATGATAAAAACAACAAAGATTAGAAGAAAAGTTTGAATGTAAATAGTGTAAGTAATGATATCTACCCAGAAATTCAAACAGAAAATATATAATTTATTTCCTATTTTTTTTTTTTTATATATTTTTTTCTTTTTATTTCTATTTTTAGCTGCCTCCTGAGAAAACCTGAGGATTTGATCCAATCAACTTGCACTTCCAACTGTTTCCTCAATATCTTGTGCGGAGTAATGTAAACTTATATTGACAGCATAATACACAGGCTCTAGTCTCACGGCCCATGCCAGTTTGACCATTTTTTTTTTTTTTTTTTTTTTTTTTTTTTCCTTTAATGAGAGCCAGTTAATTAAATCTTTTCTGCCTGTGTATTCCCTTCAGTTGCATTTTTGTCCAGATTCTCATGCAAGGTTTCAGTACTGTTCCTCCAAGCCCCACCCTTCCTCCACTCACTACAAACAGATAACTTTGATAAGTTCTTACATTCGTCTTGAAAATTCTTTCTTCATTGCATTCGTTCATTAATTTTTTTTTTTTTTTTTTTTATGGCTGTTTCCAAAGTTTCTTGCTTCCTTTTTAAAATATCTTTCCTTCTCATTTCACACTGACGATATTTTCACAATAATTTTTTTTTTTATTATTTTGCTATCGAAATATCTTTAATATATTTCCCAAATCATTTCATCAACCCCGCTGTTTCCATTCGACCTTTCACACAAGCCATCTTTACGGAGATTTGCCCTTACAGCCTCTTTACTATACATTTGAAAAAAAACAAAAAAAAAAACAAAAACATGCTATTCACAAGGCTAAAGTAGTCAGTTTGTCTAGGGAATATTGGAAATTCAGATTTTAAGCTTAAATGTGAATATCTGAAAAAAAAAAATGTAATATCTCAATGTGAGCATTCATTATACATGTGTTTGTCTTGATTTCCCTGCTGTCAGGTGTTTAGAATTCATTGTTCATGTTTTTTGTCAGAAGTTGAAAAAAAGTTCTCCTGTTTGACAGTTCATTGCTATACAAGGTCTGTCTGCATTGTATCCAGCCATTTTGATTATCTCAAGAATCTCTTGTGCAGCCTTAATGTATCTTGGCCTCCAATCAAATGGGACATTACTTTGTGAACAAGTGCTCTACCATGGAGTTAGTTGTTGGTATTGAGATGGTAGTAAGTGAAATTTTGTATTGTGTCATCTTCACAAGAATTAAGTGAGTAAATTCTTTTGTTTTCTGCAGAGCTTTTGGGGAAAAATCTTGCATCATTTGGTTTTATCATACTCTCCACAGCCCAGTCCTTGTAACTTTTGGTTTTTCCCAAAGCTGAAATTTACATTAAAATGCTGTTGACGAGATTAGGGAGAATGTAACAAGCTGATGGTGATTGCAGAATTGGACTTTGTAGACTGTTTTGAAAGGGAAAAATAGAAGGGATAAGTGCGGGAAGTCTCAAAGAGTGTACTTTGAAGGGGACTACGGTGCCATTTCCCTCAGAAGGCCTTTTTTTTCTTTTCTTTCTTTTCTTTTTTTCTTTTCTTTTTTCTTTTCTTTTTTTCTTTTCTTTTTTTCTTTTCTTTTTTTCTTTTCTTTTTTTTCTTTTCTTTTTCTCTTTTTTTATTTTTGTTTCTTTTTCCTTTTTTTTCTTTTTTTCCTTTTTTTTTCTTTTTTTCCCTTTTTTCTTTTTTTCCCTCTTTTTCTTTTTTTTTCTTCTTTTTTTTTCTTTTTCTTTTTTTTCCTTTTTCTTTAAATATTTCAGAATTTTTTTAATTAAATGGCTGGATGCTTTCCTGACAGACCTTCTCTCTCTCTCTTTCAGCTAGAGACTAATTTCTCCCCCCTCCCCTTTCCAAAATGTATAAAAGGATATTTGATCATATCTCTGTTGAACATTTTTTATCCTGATCAAGAAAGATTTTGTATTTTCAATGAGTTGTAATTTCAAGCAGACTTATTTTGGTTCATTTAAGCATGGCTGATTCTTCTTGGTTAAGAAAAAAGTGGTTGCTTGTGAGTCAGGTTCAAGTTTTGAAGAGACTTTTAAACGCTTACTTTCCTTTCATGGGGCAATCATACAAGCTTGATACGATTAATTTCACTGGTATTTTATCATATTCTCGTGTCTTAATATGTTAACGGACAAAAAAAATTACCCGTTAGCACTCTGTAGGCGACTTTGACCAAAAATCAGGTACTGAACAATACCATGTTTGAATTTTCACAATTGTGTTGTCATATCCTGCTATGGAAACAGCAAAAATGACCTTCACTGAAATCAACACTGGGGCTGTTGAGTCCTGTTGAATGAATTCTGTGACAAAAGTACAATAAACAATGCAGAGGGCTTGAGATTAAGCATAACCACAAGACGCACATGCATATCAATCCGACAACGCACAAAATACAGTTTTTGCTTTGTGATACAGAGCAAAGCACTGGTTTATTTTGTTGCACTGTATACTGCAATTATCCACTGTAATCATGTCACACAATGAGTCCTTATAAACCTATTAGGGTCATAGGATCATCATATAATGGTGTGTCTAGGGCAGGATAACCTGAGGGTGCCAATTCCTTTCATGAGCACAAATCTCTGGACCCCTTATCGAAGCTCCATGTATGTATGTGTGTATGTGAGAGAGAGAGAGAGAGAGTGTGTGTGTGTGTGTGATGAATGAATGTATATATATATATATATATATATATATATATATATATGAATGAAGAAATATAGTTTTAAGGTGTGCTATATTTATGGGATAAAGTGCTCAATATCAGAGATAGAGCGTGTGTAAATATAAATATAAAAGTGAACATTGAAGTCAACACTCAGAGGCAACAGGCGATGATTGCGTCTAGCATGAAACAACCTGTTGCCTGTGAGTGTTGAGAGATTTTTGGGAGGTGTTGGAGTGTAAGTTATCACAGTGGACAACAGAATTAGCAGACTAAATTCAAATTTTGCACTAATGCTCTTTGGAAAGGCATGAATTCACTTCTTCCCTGCAATAACTGACAGGGAAGAGAGTAAGGGGATAAGTACTTAGAGAAAATCAGCCAGCCTATTAGTAATGCTCAGGCTGTAGCAGCTCAGGTACTGTTACCCCTGTTGTCAATCTTGACAAGAGGCGATAATTATAGTTCTTTATCCATTTATATGTAATAATTCTTTGACCCATTTCAGGTTATAGGCAATTCCCTTTATTTTTGTAAATTTTGGGATAAGGAATTATATGTTTTGCTGTTCAAATGGGCACATGATTGAATGGTTAGAACATTTGCTTTCTGACCATGAAACCCAGGTTCGAATCTCATCATGGGTGATTGCTGAGGACGGTGACTTTCCGATGTTGTTGGCCTGGGGAGGTGAACCCAACGTGTGGCACCTCAAAGTGCCTGAAAACTATACCACAGTTTAACCCAAACCATTCGAGTGAAATTTGGTGTAAGGAACTTTTCAGAAAATAAATTTAAACAGCTATAGCAAATTTCTCTAATCCATCAATACAGAGAAAGTTATTTGTGATTATGAACAGATAACAGACATGCCTAAAAGATATATATATATATATATATATATATATATATATATATATATATATATATATATATATATATATATATACATACATACACATATATATATATATATATATACACACACACACATTACAATGAATCATTCATACAAAAATAATTTCCACGCCTGAAGATGACTGCTGAATGTACAGTCGAAAGTACTTGCATATTTAAGAAAGACCTTATACAGCTTATAATTTTTAAAAACAAGGATCATAGTATTTGAGTGATTTGTAGGTTAATGCACTTTTAAAATTTTGTTAGCGAAGGGATTTTGCCATTTTATATCATTAACTTCACTAATCTACTTTTTGTGTGAATGTTTCATTGTAATATAAATTGAACTGCACCACATATTTGATATATATATATATTGATACTAGAATCCATGAATTACTTAAATATATATATATATATATATATATATATATATATATATATATATATATATATATATATATATATATATAAACCTGTGTATTTGGCTAGCAATCCATTAGTTAAAGCAAACCTGAAAAGGTACTTTTGTTAATTTTTTTAATATATTTTTATGCAAATGAGTATTTTCTTTTCTAGACTCAATGACTACAAAAAATTGTATAAACCTTTTTTTTTTTTTTTTTTTTTTTAAATTTAAATCTAAGTGCTTTCAGCTGCTCTAGTTAATTTTAATTAAACTACTCTAATAAATGGTTTGTAAATGCTGTTATAGACTGTCTGAAAGTAAGATATGATATCTGAAATGCAAAGAATAGTTGAACCAAATTGAAACATTATGGTAGTGTCATTATCTTCATGTGTCTATGAGCTAAGCCTTGAACTAATGATCTGCCAGAAATTAGAAAAACTTTATCCAGCCTATCATGATAATATTAATAATATATCATAGATAGTCTTTAGTCTTTGCATACGTGAAATAAACCTTGGAGTAATGGTCTGCAAAATAAACCAGAATGCTCTGTACACTGCCAGTACCACTCAGAAACACTCAATTTCTTTGTAGGAAGTTCTTCATACACCATTTTTAATAGGGCTAACGTTTCACTAGCACCCTTACCAATCTTCACCCAAAACTTGATGTTAATCCACTACTCCGGATTCCTTTCTCTCCTTATCTGCCAACAGTATAACATGAGCACTTAAAACTTCCTCTACTACCCGGCAACAAATGAATTACCTGGTCTGTCTCTCAAGAAGCAGAAATTTGAATATGTCAGAACAGAGATGTTTGCCCAACTCATTACCGCCAGTGACATGCTGTGGTTGTTCTGGGGAAGGGGGGAGGATTAAATCGTTATACAGTATGTAACATACACTATTTACTATAGAATTACACTGTGGATGATGGAGAAAGGGATTGTCAGTGGTCAGGAAGTAATGTAAGTATTAATGACAGGAGAATTTTCTCTGTACAGTAAATTTGTAATAAATTTAATTTTGTGATGACGCTGTTGTTTGAGTTTTGTTATATTTATTTCACTTTTAAATTAAAAGTCTGAAGACTTTTTAGATGAGTTTTAGAATTATAGCAATGTCAATATACAGCCAGGGCTCTCTCTCTTTGTCTTCCAGTGACTCGACAAATCGACCTACTTTGTTTTATAGGCACCAACATGAGATTGCTGGAAAATGAGCATAGCAGGATGATAACGACCTTAAACTTGACGAAAACAAAATTTTATCGTCAAAATGTTTGTTTTTATTAAGAGGAAAGAAAGTAATTTTTAATTATTTTTAAAAAATTTTCTGTCTTTATTAAAGCATTCTAAATTTTGATTGAAAAACCTCGTTTCTCATCATCAGCGAATGTCCTACTAAATAACATGGCGGATTTTTGTGTATTTTTTTTTTTTAATGGCAGTCATTAATTTTGAAAATCTTGCAAAAATAAAAATAATTGTCGGATTTTAATGAAACTTTCAAAAACTATTCACAAATGATGGAAATAATTATAAATATGTTTTTTTTTTTTTTTTAAGTCATGGTAAAAAAAAATTTTTTATATTTATTACCCCCCCATAATTAATTTTATGAAAACTCGAAATTCTAATTATTACAAAGTTTTAGTGGTTAATTAGTTAAAAGCACAAGGCTTTGAGGAAAGCAAATCATTTTTTTTTTTTTTTTTTTAGTTGACTCCCTTCTACCTTAAAATCAGCTCTGAATTGTAACATACAAAACTCAATAAAACAAAGATATTATTTAATTTCAAAAGCTTTTAGTTGCTTTTACTTGTTTGTATGAATATAGACAACATTTTCTGAAAGCAAAAAACGTTTTCGATGAAAAATAAATTTTTACAACAATTATTTGTTATTTCTTAAATTATTTTATTTTTTACATAAAAGTTGTTAAACATTCTAAAATTAATGAAAATCTTGTACAGCTTAGTCAATGGTATTATTAAGTAGATAAATATCATTTACAGATTATAAAATAAAACTGGTTACAATCAGCAAGTTGCTAATAGTTAAAAATCTAATATAACATGTTTTTTTGTGTGTCCCAAAGTAGCTTAAATTCAAATATACGGAAGACCAGAAGCATCATGAAAACAATAGTCAGTTACATGGTTTGCGTTGGTAGTAACAAACATTTTGACAATAAAATTCTGCTTTTGTCAAGTTTAAGGCCGTTTTTATCATGCTATGCCTACTTAAAAATAACAAGGTAAATAAGTTGTTCACATAAAGCTAAACTGTCACTTGTGACCTCACGTACTATAACTTTTCCCCACATAAGATGAAATCACGCATATGTCACTTGTCAATCAACACCTGTTAAGACCGGGTTTCTATCATTTGAAAGTACATTTTTTTTTCAGCGCAGAGAGTAAGTAATGTTTGTTTCAAAATACATTAAATAAACTTTAAAATTTCTAATTTTCTTAAATTAATTTAAAAAAAAAATCATAATTCATTTTTTTAAACGGAGATTTTCACTTTTGTAAACAAAAGTTAAAAAAAATGGCTGACGATGGATTTTCTGTCAATTTTGCTGATCAAAAAAAAATACAAGATTTTTAACGAGAATTTTGGACGTGCTA